TTTTTATTGTTGGTCTTTCAAAACATTACATCTTTCTTAATATATCATGTTTCACAATTTGATTCAGAATGGTTATGAACTTCCATTATTACCCCGTATACAGATTGCTGAATCACATCGTTTACATCAGTTACATTTCCATTGATTTACACATTGCCATTCAAGTGTCTGATGAATTCTGCTCTCTAACCTATCATCTACAGTAGATGATTAGACATTTTCAACAGGGTTGAGGTTGAATATATAATCTTGGACAGAAACAAATGTGTAGTCACCAATAGGATTGACATTTGAGAGCATTAGGCAACCTGGACAAGGATTTTTTTAGTAATCCATGCTCACTTTCCAATTAGGCTTTGGTACAATCATAAGTGTGACCTTTGCATTTTGTGTCCAGAATATCACAGTGATAAAATGTATATGTAGATCAGGTGACATGAGTATTTCTTCCACCATTTCTGGGAGCAATATGTTGAAGACGTATAAATTAGCATTCGGGGGTACAAATAGGTGTACCCTGTGTCTATGAGTATAGAGATAATGCATGAATAGACCATACTGTGAATAAAGAATATAACTGGTTCCAATTTAAAAAATGGTTTGAATTGATATCTGAAAATATATAGGAAATCTTATATTGATACATGATCACTCATTCCAAGCAGTTATACATCTAATGGTAATACTAGGGTTATGGTTTACCATGAAGGGTGTGTGAGATTTGCTTCAAAACTGATTATGGAAATCGAAAATAATGTGTTTGGAAAGAAGTCTCATGAAAAGACCAGTCAAGAAACATGGAGGAATACATGTGTTCTGAAGCAGGATTTGATTAAAAGTGAGCCAAATGCCTAGAAATTTGTGAACTTGAGGATGAAATATATATCCTATGATGTGCATCAACTGAAGAAATAGTAATGTACCAGTGTTGAATAAAAATGAATGTCAAAATACACATCATGTCCCAAAGGAGTCGACTTGCATTGATGTTAAACAGGGTCAGTTACTGTAGAAATCTTAGGATTTCTATGCACCATTCACTGAAGTTAGTTTTCAGTACTAGGAAACAAATATGTATTTCAGGTGGATGAATATTTCTGAGAATAATCTTGTGAAAAGTTGATTATGAATCCCCATACATGAACATGAATTTAGGGAGTGTAAAATAAGACACATATATTTTAGATTTTTAAAAATCTGGAGAGTGTGTGTGTGTGTATATATATACAAATATATATACACAAAACACACACATACAGACATTAAAAAGTAGAAATATATATGCCAATTGAAATTCATCATGAAATATATGTCATCCACAGATCCAAAATTATTTATTTTTCTGAACATGGATTTATGTATCATGTTGTTCAAGTAGGAAGCTCACCCATAGGTTGAATTTTCAGTTCCAACAGCATTTCGGAGGAGTGATCTCTTCTCACAGTTTGTATCTGCCAAGTCAGCCACCTCACAAGAATGTAGCAGGGAAACCAGGTAGGATCCTATATGTGCATGTAAAAATACATGTGCTGAAAAGGCTACAGAGAAAGGGAGACAGGAATTCACATATTTGTTAACTTTACAAACACATGGAGAACTATTTCTCTTAATTTGGACTAGATTTATAACACCTAGCATTATAATGCACAAGGAAAGTCCAACTATACACCATGCCTCCTCTGAACTGCTTGTATTTCTATTCTGTTTGGGTTATTTTTCTCCATCATATTAAGATTCGTAGTCAGAGTCTAGTAGGGTATGGGTTAGTGTCAGGGATTCAGTATTTGGAATGGAAAATAAGAAAATGAATCCAATGTGTATGCAAATATGAGCTACACAAAAATCTTCCCACTCTCATCCAGAACATTGCCTTGACATTACCCTCGCCCCAAGTAAGAGGCAATTCGAGGAGAAGAGTTAGAAATTCTGTGAGTACATATGTGGAATGAAAAATGCTCAGGAGTTCACAACCTTGGAGGTGGTAGAGGTGTTTCCATAAGTAAGAGAAAGCATAAAAACTCCACAAACGTGGAGCTCTACTGGCCTAAAGACTTCTTGAGAAACTGCCTCTGAGGTTGGTCTCTTGAAATACATGTTGTTGTCAGGAGCTTTACCTTCCTTTGTAGTGAGACCATCAAAGCTGGGTCTGCATTTATGTGACCTGGAGGACATGGTTTCTTATTTTCCAATGAACATGAGGCAGAAGTGCTGAATTCTCTCTTTGTAGGTCAACTGTGCCCACGGGGGGCAAAGGGTCTTTTCGTGGGGACTGTGAAGCCATTTGGTCATCCTCCAATTTTCGTGGTGTTTCCTGCTGCTGCACTGGGAGTTTGGTATTTTTCTCATGAAATATAAAAAGTTCAACTGGGACACAGTGCTGGAGGGAGTTCTGTCACGTGTGGTGGGTCAGGGTCCTAGGAGAATGCACCAACAAGGCTTCTATCCCACAGAGTTGCCCCCTTGACCATAGCAACCTGATTCTGAACATTGCCCTGAAACCTGTCCATATAACAAGATGCCTTTACATATAAGGGTCTCCTGGCTGCACCATGTCAGTCACAAGCCATTTGGAAACCCATGGCAGATCCACATGGCCCCACCACAGATGTTTTATCACACACCTGCACACCACTGCTCTAGGCCCACTACTCAGCAGGCCCCAAATTACTAGCATCTCTCTTCTACACCATTTTCATTCAACTCAGTCAATCAAGGCACCTGTCTGGTACACTCATGATCAGCAACAGGACATTCAAAGGTTCTCCAGTGCCACCTGGTCATGGGAATTTCAAAGATTGCATGGTATTTATCTAGCCATTTTTAAAGGATGAAGTTGGAGGCATGATGGGTTTCCATTCATTCAGGAACCATTAAATGGTGAGGAATATCATTTCAATGAAAGTTCTGAAGAACTCTCACAAACAAGGCTTCCCAAAGAGTGGCCAAATCGTCACATGAAACCAGGCTCATTAAGGTCTACAATGTGAGGTCCATGTGTGTTTTGACTCTCAACTATGGCTGCCAGGTCTCTAAGAAAAAAATCATGTGATATCATGGCTGAGATTCCCAAGGTTCTGTGGAAAGTCACCCTGGGCTTCGATCTCAGTTTCCAAGGGTGACTCTCATGCGTGGCTTCGGAAAATCCCAACACAATTCATGGCAATAATTATCTGAGGTGAGTTCCAGAAGTCAGTCTCCAAGGGGAATCACAGCAGAGTTCAAGCCCAGGTGGACCCAGTCATCTCTTCCACTGCCACACAAATGACCACAATTCAAACCAAAACACTGCCACATGGCCCTCATCTTCTTCCATATAGACACTCCTCATAACCTTTGACTGGAGGTTTCCATGAGGGGCCCAGCCCAAGACAGTGTCCACAATAACTCCCTTGCCCCTCATTTGCCTAATGTCAGGGTGGCCTGGACACCCTTCCTGTGAACCAGGAGTGATCAAATAGGCCTGCTTTTAATACTGCTTAGCTTCTCCACTTTGAGGCCTTCTGATGGTGGGGTATACATTCTTTGTGTGAATTGGAGTCATGAGAAAACCCAAGCACCTAATGGTTAGCCTCTGCAGGGCTTCGAAGAACTAATTTGACCCAAAGGATCCCTATTCTCACTTGATGGAGGTCAGGAACTTTACAGAGGAAGGCGAGAGACTTCCTCCACAATGACTGCTTTTTTGGCATTTTGTCTTTGGATGCACACATGCCAACTTTCTTTAGATCCATCAGGTGCTGACACTGACAATTTAAGCCACAGCCTAACACAGGGCCAAGAGGCTGATTCAGACACATCCCTTTGCAAAGCAATTAAGCAAAAAGCCACAGGTGATGCCCCTTAATTTCCATTTGAAAACTGTTTTCTTCAGGCTTCACAAAGGGGTGCCCTGAGTCAATGACCTTCCTGACATTCAGGGCAACAGAACAACAGGTAAGCAAAAGTCCCAAAGCAGGGTTTCTCCACTGAGACTTTACTAGACACACTGATATCTGAGTTTTCTGAGATGCTCACCATTCCTTTCAGTTATCCAGTACATGGCCATGTCACCAAGCTTGGAGGTGGTACATATCTTGGACACAAAACCATAAGCCTATTCTGGAGTGTGGCCCGAATTCAGGAAGAAAACAGGAACTTAGGAAGATAGTAGGTGCTGTTCATCCATAAGGCAAGCCCCAGTCCAGTCATAAATTGGGCAGGATGAATGCTGGGATGCTTTCTACTAGACAGGACACATGCATTAATGCATTCTCTTTTGTAATGTCTACAACCAGGGACACAGTGGGATACACAAACTTAGAAACACTTGCCTTGTCAAAAGACTTAGTAAAAACAGTCCACTCCTAACCAAAAAAACCGCCTTTCCTACCAATCTCAGAACATGAGACAAGACCACAAACTCACACCCACACTTACAAAGCAACCTCCTTCCCCCAAGAAGGTCTGTGACTACCCTCAGTGTCCTCTGAGTGGTGGGCCATATTGTGTTTCTCCGAAATGGCCTGTCCTTTCTCAGATTTGGCCTCCTTGGCCAACTCTGTGAAGTTGTCAGGAGCCAGCGGTGAGCCACTACCTGCTTTCTCCGGAACGGCCCCTCTTCAGAGCTTTCCTGGCATTTGGCCATCCTCACATCTGTAGGTACCAAGAAAGACTGACTCTGTCCTTGGTAAATCCAAACAAGTGAGCCCACTGGGACTGGGTCCAGGACTGCCTCTGGCTGCCTGGCTTCCTGGATCCCAAGTTCAGAGAGTTCCATCACCAAGGAAGTGTGGTGAAGTAACTTCCTTCAGGAACTGAATGAGGTCACT